CGGAAATTTCGTGAATTTGGGTCAGCGTGGAGATCATTGGGTGGGATCCTATTAGCTGATTATAAGTTAATGGATACCGGTAGTAAGAAATGGACAGGTGTTAATGACTTTTGGTCTGATCTCTCGCTTACATTGTTGGACATCGAGGAGAACATGAAAAAGTTAAATCTTGCCAACACACGGGCACTTTGGTGGAATACCTTAGAGCCTTTTGTGAATGCTGTCTTCATTGCTAAGAAAATTGGTTCTTTAAGAAAAGGAGATAAAGTTGAAGTTGCAAGTTATTCATTCGTTGACAAATTTAAGAAAGCAGATGCACTTTGTCTCAAAATGATTTCAGGCTGTCCTGAAAGTGTGCTTACAGTATCTGAGAGCCTTCTTGTTTATGACGACGATGCTAACCAAGAGATTCATTCAGATATTGAGGGGAAAGCTAACATTTACTCTGGAAAGTTTTCTTCAAGACAAGAGAAGCAGAACAAAATTGGGAAGGAAATGTCTGGGCTTGATGAGCAGGAGGTTAGCAAGGTTGTCAGAGCGTCGAAACTGATAGCAGAAGGCATGCATGAAAGTGTTATGAGAAAGAAGCTATACAGAAGGTCGAAAAAAATATCTGAAATCAAACCAGCTCTCTTGGACCAATATGATACACTAGATTCTACTTCTCCTGGTAGCCTTGAATGCCAGGATAAAGATATAGGCAGCATCCACATCCTCTCAAAGGAAAATCGGGATGAAAGGTTAAGGAATGATAAGATGAAGAATTCATGTGGCAGTCCAAAGAAGGGAAGAAAAAAAGCTAGAAAGCAGTGTAATCAGGATGATGTCCTTTTGATTTCCACAAGAACCAAAGGTAAGGGTGGCTCTGCTAGCAAATCAAGCCAGAAAAAGAAATCCCAGCAATCAAAAGCTAGGACGAAAAAAAGAAACAACAAGGGAGGGTGCAGGCTGCTTCCCCGAAGCACGAGCAATGCAGAAAAACAAATTTCCCAAGGAAATTGGTCTACTTTAGGTCCAAGAACTGTCTTATCATGGTTGATAGCTACCAAAGTAATTTCTAGGGACGAAATAATCCAGTTACGAGATCCAGATGATGATACTGTGGTAAAAACGGGCCTGGTAACTAAAGATGGAGTGGTCTGTACATGTTGCAATAAGACTATATCACTTTCTGAGTTCAAGAATCATGCTGGATTTAACCAGAACTGTCCATGTTTGAATCTATTCATGGGTTCAGGAAAGCCTTTCACTTCATGTCAGCTGGAAGCTTGGTATGCTGAGTATAAAGCCCGAAGAAAAGGATTAAGACCGGAGGAAGCTTCTGATGATGATCCAAATGATGATTCTTGTGGAATTTGTGGTGATGGCGGTGAACTGATCTGTTGTGATAGTTGTCCATCCACCTTCCATCAGGCTTGCTTAGCAATGCAGGTAACATGTGGCTCGTTTCAGAGAGTAATTTACAAATAATTTTGGCAACTAATTCTCAAATTCATCTTTATTTCTCTCTCCCTCACAAACACAGACACGGGTGACACTTCTCGGTTGATTTGTTATCTTTACTGATTCAGTAAATTACATGACATTAGTATAACTATGATGCTTACCTTACTAGAACTGTATTTTCAGTGAACTGCGACCCTCTAAAGAGAGTGGCTAATTACTTTTGGTCTTTCTATTCAGGTGCTCCCTGAAGGCAGTTGGTATTGCTCAAGCTGCACATGTTGGATATGCAGAGAGTTAGTTACTGATAATGCTCCTGCTAAAGATTTTAAATGTTCCCAGTGTGCGCATAAATGTAATCACCTCTCCCGCTCGCCAACTTTTAGAAATCATGATTCATTTCTTTTATCACACAAAAAGTCGCTTTTGGTGATCTAAAGAAACTCCTGGTTTGAAATGTTCGAACATGGCACACTGAGATGTTGTCATGGTTGATGTCACTGTACCAGTTACAGTTGCATATTTTGGTTTATCTGCTAAGCTCAGCTAGTCTACAGTTTTTCCTTCTTTAGTAATCGATTCTTTGCGAAACTCGCTTTGGGAGCTATTCCTCTCTCGGCGGTTTGGATTCGAAATCCAGTTTGGCTGATAACTCTTACTTATGTTATCAGATCATGGTGTATGTCTGCAAGGGATAAGGAAACGAAGAGAACCTATTCCAGAAACCTACTTTTGTGGTAAAAATTGCGAGAAGGTATTACTCATGCCTAGTTTCTGTGACTCGGGCAGCTAATGTGTATTGAGAATAACTTTTGTTTTTCCAATCACTTTCTAGATATACATTAAAAATTGATATCTTTCTCGCTGTTTTTGGGCTCTTTGACATATAACAAGAGAAGTTGTTACAGCCTGTTAGCAGCTTTCTAGTTCCTTATCAATTGATTGTGTAATGCAGGTGCACACTGGTCTCAGTTCTCATGTTGGGGTCATTAATCGTAATGCTGATGGTCTGTCTTGGACAATTTTGAAATGTTTTAAAGAAGATGAAAAAGTTCATTCTGCCAGAAGGTTGGCGTTGAAGGCTGAATGCAACTCGAAATTAGCTGTTGCTCTATCAATTATGGAGGAATGCTTTCAGTCTATGGTAGACGCAAGAACTGGTATCGACATGATACCTCATGTGCTATACAACTGGGGGTAACGTCCTTGTGTCATTAGCTTGCCCATTTTGGTTTCTGTGTGTTAACTTTGTACGTTCAGTTTTGCTTTTCGTAACTAACAACCTGTCTACCCTTTCTGAATCTTTTGTTGCACTTGAAGGTCAAAATTTGTCCGCTTAGACTTTGGTGGGTTCTACACAATGGTTGTGGAAAAGGACGATGTGATGATCTCAGTAGCATCCATCAGGTCAGTATGAATAAATTCGACCTCACGCTAAAAGAAAGTGTAATTTCATGGCTATCACGTGTTTACTTTTACTATTCCCAAAAATAAATCGTAAGAAAGTATTATCATCCAGCATCTGAACAAGACAGATATTTGCAGTATAGGCCACCAATAGATGCTTAGAAATGTAAACGAATTCAATCAACGGAATGCGTCACATATGAAAACCCATTTTCCTGTTTCCAGGGTGCATGGAGTGACTGTTGCAGAGATGCCTCTTGTAGCTACCTGCAGCAAGTATCGTCGTCAGGGAATGTGCAAAATCCTCGTGGCTGCCATCGAGGAGGTACAATAATTAGAATATGCCCATGTGATTGTTTCCGACCCTCAATCCACATAAACATTGTAAAATGATAGACGCACAGCACTCGTATGCTGACCTTGATAGTTGCAGTCTATTATAATTATCTCATATTTTCCCCATTTTTCTTTTGATTCATCGGCTATCACACAGGCTAAACTCATAACTTTCTCATGCTCTGATCTCTGGCCTTCTCGGTTGGTTTTGACTGCAGATGCTTATGTCTTTGAAAGTGGAGAAGCTTGTGGTAGCTGCGTTGCCAAGTCTAGTAGAAACTTGGACCAATGGTTTTGGCTTCAAACCCATGGAGGATGAAGAACGTGATGCTCTCAAAAGAATAAACTTGATGGTGTTCCYGGGCACAATTCTGCTCAAGAAAACGCTATACCAGTGCACAAGCCCTGATACTGTGAAAGGTACATCACCTCG